AATGATATCTATGTACTTCTCACTCACTTCTAGTTCAACAACTTCTGGAAAAACAACTGTATATGGCATAAGTAAATAAATATAAATAAATACAAAATAATCTTAATGGCAGATGCTGTTAATATGCGATATTTTTTCAGTGTATGGTTTGCAGAGCATGCTTGGGGTTGCTTCATTGCACTGTGAACTCAAGAATATAAAATAATGCTAGATTTTTTTTTACATGTATGGGGTTTTACCTCCATGTATATCTGTGCATCACTTCCATGCCTGGTACTGAGGAGACCAAAAGAGGGGGTCAGATTCTCTAGGACTGGAGTTACAGATGGTTGTGAGTCACCGTGTGGGCCACCGGTGTCAGTCCTTTAGAAAGCTGCCAGTGCCCGTAACCACTGAACCGTCCCTCCAGTCTCTGGTGCTGTACTTCAGTTCTGTTGCCTTTGCCCTGTGGTCTCCCAAAGGGTTTCCTCTTGAATCCTATTGGAAATGTAGTCTCTGAAATTATTCCCATACTTTTATATTGTTAAATGGGATAAAGAATATTTGTCTAGTAAATATTTCCTTTAAGTTTTAAGTCTTGAGTTCAGTTATTGCTTGATGCAGTTTTGACTGAATCACAAATACATTTAATAACAGGCTATATAAAATAGGAGATGACGCCAAACTATTGAAAGATAAATCAATATAAGACTGTTAGTGCCATGTATATGTTTTGATATGTGGATGCATCAGGTTTCTGCTTGGGTTTTCATTTTGAGGTTATATGTGGGGAAGGATATGAAGAAACAAGAATATAATGTCTAGGTTTTATCACTGCTTTTTAAAAGTCCTACAAGGTCAAGCACAGATAATAATTTCAAGACTGATACAGGTGAAATATAGCGAGATATATATATATATATATATTGGTACAATACACATTATTGAACAAAAGATTGAAAGTGTACAGTTCCTCTTCAGTGCTGAAATAGTACTCAGCATATACAGTGTGTTGTGAGCAGGAAGGAGTAGGTGGGTGGGCAGAGCATAGGCTGGTCAGTCAGCAGTCCAGTCATGGCTCTGCTCTTCAAGCTCAGTAGCCTGAGCACACTAATGACTCATTTTCTTCATCTGTGCAATGATGGCTTGTTCCAAGCTGCTCTTCCAAAGTCCACATGTGACCTGTGTTACACCCTGAAGAGCAAGACATAGCCAAACTAATACTGATGGCCAAGTTTCAGACACTTAATACATTTTAAAAGAGTTCTCCAGCTGGCTTTTATTTCACTTTATTTTATCAATAAGTATAACACCAACCATCACACACACACACACACACACACACACAAATCAGTCATGAAAAGATATTTGTATTAACCAAGAGAAAACTTTGAAATCTAGGAAAAGTTGGAACTAGAGAGATGGCTCAGCAGTTAAGTGACTTCTTGCTCTTTCAGAGGTCAGGAGTTCAAATCCCAGCACCCACATGGGGTGGCTCATAGTAGCCTGTAACTCCAGATCCACGGGATCCAGTACCTTATTTTGACCTCTACCTGCATGCATGTGGTACACACACACACACACACACACACACACACACACACACACACACACA